TTTGTAACAATATAAGCTTAAACATTGAAACATTTGTCAAGAAAATCATTAGTCACAAAGTGCTGTGTGGTAACTATTGTCCAAGTTTTTAAAAACACTGTTTCTGTTTCATTTAGGATCAGAATCTCTCACAAGACACGGTTGATATTGAGGTATGTTACTTGAAATAATAAATACTGTACTTTGTGATAAAAACTCTCTCCTATACTAAATGTCAGATATAATTGAACTTCTTCTGAGAGTTACAAGGTTTTTTAATCTGAGGGGTGCACTGACACTTTTGACACAATCTATTCTTTCATCTTGAAGATTATGTGGTAAACCTAATGTAAATTAAACAATCCTCAGGTTGTAGCCGAGCTGAAAAACAGTGTGGGCACACAGACAAAGTCCTCAGGCAGACACAGAGGTAAAGATGGTGTGATGCTCAAGTGTTTTGTAACACAATTACTGTAAAATGTTTCATGCATTACAGCTGTATTAAGAGTTTTGCAACATTCCTTTCCATTGTACATCTTTTTCAAAAGTTTATCTGTATACAATCATCATTAAGGCACATATTATTTCCACTTATGACAATGATGGTTTTGTTTTGAAATAGACATTTTATACAATTATATGTATGTAATTTTAAAATACTATGAAGAATTGACAGTGCTAATATTTCAAAGTCATTTTGCTTGTTATTCTTCAGCAACACAGGTCACTCCTGCTCGCGCTGGGTCCAGTGCACACTCCTCGCCCCACCCCCGGAGAATGAGGACACCAAGTCGGAGCCGGAGTCTGAGGAAGAGGAGGATGACGATGATGATGAGGACTACTTTCCCTCAGAGGAGGAGCTGTCAGACACTGATAGGTCAGAAGCAATTGCAACATATTCCTTCATTTGTTGAAATAGCCTCTTTTATCACAGTATCATAACAGTAAAACACATTTGTTGAAATCCCTAATGTGGCATCACAGCTTAATGTGCAAACCAATTTTTTTTTCAATATTTACCTAGTGATGACTTGGAGACAGAAGAGATTCATCTGCCAGATGAGTCAGTACCACCCCAGGAGGAGAGAAAGTACCTTGTCTTCCATTCAGCTCTTCTGCAGCTTTTCTCTCTCTGCCTAATCTGTGGTAGTGGAAAGCAGAATCTTCGCCTCGAGACCATTGGGTCCTTCCTGTCCATCACACAGATTTGTACCTTGTGCAAACATGTGAGGACATGGAGCAGCCAGCCATTCATACGCAACACACCAGCTGGGAACTTGCTGATCTCTGCAGCAGTTCTTTTTGAAGGTATTGAATTACTTCCTGTCAATCATGTCTAAAGTCATATAAACTGAACCTTTAAAGCCACATTGCAAGGAGGTTTACAGATGAGTTAATGTTAATTTGTGTATAAGTACATACTGTCCCATTATTATTATTATTATTATTATAATACACAGATTGATGCAGGTAACCAATAAAATTGTCTTGTCATAGACAAATCACAATGAATTTATATGCTTTCAAACAGGGGCAATACCACAACAGGCGTTGAACGTCTTTGCCTGCCTTCGCCTACACTGTATCTCAGCTAGAACTTTCTTCCGGCAGCAACGTATGACCCTCCACTTGGCAATCAAGAACGTCTGGAGTAGGAAACAGGCAGGCATGTTTGCAGCCCTGCATGAAGGAGGACAGGCACTGATACTGGGAGGTGATGGCAGGGCCGACAGCCCTGGACATTCAGCTAAATATGGGTCTTACACCCTTATGGATTTGAGGACTAACAAGATTCTTACCCTACAGTTGGTTCAGGTAAGTAGCTTCTCCTGTTTGTAGAATTTTTTCTCTTATCTATTAGTATTACAACTACAGGTAATTTTGAAGCAAGCAGCAATGCCTTAATAACATTAAATGCAAAGCACTTTAATGTAATGATGAAATGATTTGATGTTACTTTGGTCTAAAAGTTTTCCTACCTGTATTATTTCAAAAACAGAGCAATGAAGTCGGATCAAGCAATGCTATGGAGAAGGAGGGTCTGGCTAGGGCGATTGACTTCATAAGGAGGAACTGCACACTGCAGATCGGCAAGATCGTCACTGATCGCCACATACAGATCGCCAAATGGATAAGAGAAAACCTGCCAGAAACATGTCGTCTGTATGACATCTGGCACATTGCTAAAGGTACGCATTCCTAGTTCACACAGACGAAGCAAGAGGGCTGACTGTCCATAGTTAGAGCTGATTCATGATTTGACATAAACTGCAATTATTGTGGACCTTACAAAGAGCAAGTTGTCAGTGTTTTGTTAGCTTCTCTGGAGTGTTTGAGTGGTTGCTATACTGGTTACATTAAAATTTAAGGACAAAGAAGACCAATTCAATAAGCCCCACTGAACAAATTCAGACTAAATAAACACGTGTTCTCATGCAGTAATTGGTTTGTTATTTGGACTCAGGAAGAAGCTTTCTGCCTTGGCAAAGCAGGAGTGTGAGGTAGTAGGTGATTGGACAAACTCCATTGTCAATCACCTATACTGGTGTTCCACAACAACTAGGGAAGGTGCTGGTGACTTGGTGGAGGGCAAGTGGTTGTCTCTTGACAACCACTTGCACAATGTTCACAGTGGCCACAGTGAAGCCTTCCCACAGTGTGCCCATGGGCCCTTGCGCAGACAGTGGCTTAAACCGAGTAAGACAGTTATTAGGAGGTTCTGTCTGTCAAAACCAAGCATTTGGTGGCCAAACTAAATAAACTAAAGTTTATCCTACTCAGTTGGTGTAAGGCGTCCCACGGTGCCAATTTACTGATTTTTCAGGTCCTTTCGGAAAAATGCCATAACTCAGCCGTAGCTGGTCAGAAATGGTTCAAACTTGGGGGAAAGGCAAAATACAACTTGTTGAGTGTTGAAATATTACTTTCATGTTGTTATATTTCTTATATTTGCATATTTCTATGTCTGATGTGATGCATAATTCTTAAACAGAAAACGTAAATCGAGGAACTATAGCCAACATCATAGACAGACGCTTTTTGGCGGGTACATTCTTACATCTGTCACCATTTAGAAACTGTTTTGATATATTTGAAATATTATTCCTGCTTTTTATGTTTTTGTCCATTTCAATGCCATAATTTTAGGGTTACCCTAACTTTCTTGCTCTATATCAAAAGACAGTTCATGATAAGCAAAAGGATCTAAACAGGTTTGGGTAGTTCAGGACATTACCAATCATTCTACTTTGATTCTGACGTTCCCTGGTCATGGCTATAGTTCCTCAAAACGCTTCAAAGTTAAGATTATGAATCTTTACCTTCTTAGCAAATTCTAGCTGTCAATCACGTCGGTAGGCCAATTAGTCGTGTATTTAGCACCTCTATGAGACGTAATTATCTATAATTTGCCCTTGCCACAAGACAAAAGGTTGGCTGTCTTTTGTTATGCGCAGTAATTGTTCACTACAGCTCGGCCCAGCTTTCCTTTTTTTTCCTTTTAGGTCTTGAAAGAAAATGTTTTACAGACAGTAACAAATTGACAACAATTGAATGAAAGGTTTGTATGGCTCATAGCCTGGGTGCTAGACTGTTACCAGGGCTGCTATGTAGGCTACCTTCTCAATCCAGGGGACAGCATTTCCCTTCCGAAAGTTTTTTCACAGGGTCTAACCAAGGAGGTAAAACATAACCTGCTTGGTCTAACCAAACTCCATGGTCTCTTGGTATATCATATCTCCTTTGTCTAACCGAGCCTAATAACAGGGCCTAGCATGTGTATTGAGGCTGGGAACTGTCTGGCATATAGTCTGAACGGGTCAATACTGGGTGAATGTGCATACTGGGTGAATTTGCAGAGATAGCTTTACCGGAAATAGTCGGGGCTAACCTTTTCCAAGATGTTCCAAACAATTTCTAATAACGTACTGTCCACACCCTAATGTTTTAGATACTAAACTGGCACAGCCGAACACTGTAGCCGACCTTGCTCCCGACTCTTAACCAAGGAGGTTATATATATCATCACGATGGCTGGGGGAGCTCGGGAGGCCATGTTTAGCTATCTGTTAGTGTTACAGAGGAATCACTGTGGCCCGTTCTCCTTGTCATTTATCCCCATTTTTTATGGGTTCTGATATCCGTGGCCCTTACCTAAAGGGGTCCTTTGCAGGTCATGCTGGAGGTAACTTATATTATAGCTTCAGGTTGTTTGGGGACCAGATTCAGATCAGAATAAATGTGTTGTACCTTACAGCAAGAGCTTCAAATAGAACTTGCTGATCATTGCTTACAGTTGTTTTGTCTGTGTTACTAGTATTTATGCAAGCCTGACATCCGTTCTGTTCTTGATCAGCCAATTGAAAACAAAAGAGGGGTACCAATTAACTCCACAGGATGGAATTAGCGCGCAAATCAAATGCAAAACGGCAGGCGGGGCAGAGGCACTGGGTTATCACTCAAACTGTTGCATATGTACAAGTTTCAAGACTGCATTTGGCTCATTACAATATTCAAGTAGGTCATTATAATATTAAATGAGATCTTTGCTGTGGTCAACCGTGGGACGCCTTACACCAACTGAGTGCATGGTTTTACTACAACTACACAGCTGCATACCATATCAAAAGTACGTCGATGAAGGTTAGACATCCAGGTAATACGATACGCCAAAAAGCAGTTACTCAAGCAACTGGATATGATTTTGAAAACGTCAGACGTTTCAGCTAGTATCCACTAGCTTTCGTCAGTGACTGAGAGACCAAGGTCAACATCACTATCCCGAAAAACAAGGTCACTATATTGTTATTTAATCACTATCACTATCAAGAAAAACAAGGTCAACATCACTATCCCGTATGTCCAAGGAGTATCTGAGAAACTCCGACGGATCTTCCAAAACTTCAACATAGCCACTAACTTCAAACCTCACTCAACCCTCAGACAAAGACTTGTACACCCTAAGGACCGACCTCACAAAGGTACCAAGGCGAATGTTATTTACACTCAAATGCGAGGAGCCCAACTGTAACAACACCTACATCGGAGAGACAAGTAGACCGCTCAAAGTAAGATACAAAGAACATTGCCGACCTAGTGCCAACGGCTACTCCTCAGCTATTTTCCACCACCAACAACACAACCAGGGGCACTCTTTCAAACTTGAGTCCACCGATATCTTAGACCGCGAAACACGCTGGTGGCATGGGAACGGGATGTCAAGGAGGCAATATATGAAAGAATGTACAACCCCACCCTCAACAGGGAAGGGGGGCTACGGGTCGATCTTTCCGGGACTTGGGATTTGGCACTCCCAGCACCGAGGACAGACAACACTTAACCCTACCTAGACCGGGCTTTTTTTGACATGGGGGGGACGGGGGGGGGACTCTTTTGACCCCCCCTAAGAACTCGCGAACGGTATGTCGTATGACCACCAAATTTTCAGAGAATGGTGTACTTGTAAAAATTTATCATATCTACAATTTTTATGTCGTTATGACGTAATATCGTCATTATGACGTCATTAATGTGATTTTATTGGCCAAAACCGTCTAAATAGGTTTTTCCATGAAAACTAAATGGTATTCAACATAACTGTACCAAAAGTGTTTATGATAGAATATTATGGTGTACTAAGTCTTATGTTGCCCATAGCAACACCGATGACGTCATAAAATGACGTCATGCATATTTAAGATATCCGCCATCTTGGATCATCAATCTTGAATTTTCAAAAAGTTTTTTTTCATGATAAAGCCTAAAATACATTGTAAACATACTAAAGACTTTTAAACCTTTTTTAGAAAAAGAAATGAATGGAAGTATTGATGAAATTTTAATGAAAATAACCTGTATATACCTGTTCTAATGATATGGTCCGCCATCTTGGATTTTGGCCAAAACGTCATCAAATTAGCATAAATTATGCATATTTAATGATAAAATTTACATAAAATTATATGGGATGTTATTAATATTAGAAACCATGAGTAACTTGACATAAAACCCATAAAATTCTATTGTTGAAACAAAAAGTACTAAATTTAGCACAAAATGCCTCTCAGAAACCCGTTGCCATGGCAACACAAAAAATTATTATCTTATTCCAATGATAGAGAATTGTTGCCAACAATATTCTAGGAAAAGTCACCAAGTTTGGCCGTTCTGCGGCTAGCCGTTCAGACGCTAGGTGACATCAAAGTTGCCTCGGGCACTTTTAGCCCCCCCCCCCCCGGTCTAGGTAGGGTTAAACAGACCGTCTCAAATATCCTATGTCAGACATGAGGCGATAGATCCCATTGTACTGTTCATCTTTCTTTCGACCGAATGGGCTGAAGCCAACCTCTTTCTTCAGGATCTCAATATTCCAAAATGTTGTGCGCTGTCTGACAACGATCCATTTGCTATGGGTTGGTTCCCATAATACTAGTTCGCATGCCACCGGCTCGGCCTTAGTGTTCCCCGTAGTATCCATCGAGCCCAGTACTTCTTATCCTTACCTTATCCGACCGACCGTGGAGTCTCTATAAGAACCTGAGTTCCTCCCATGATTCTCCCGTACCACGTTCAGCGCTCTTCTTAACATTCGAGTACCTAAGCACTTTCGTGCGCTAATCTCGCGACCATACATCAATACATACCCGACCATAGCTGTGAAAAGTCTTCCCTTGAGTGTTGGAGTCGTATACCCTTGCCATTCTACGCAAGACTTTCCAGATATGTGTCTGTTTCACAATGATATCTCGAGCTGCTGAAACGATTCAATTTCCTTCTTCAAATTACCCCAAACTGTGCACCCTCTAGAACAACTACCTCGTTGTCTTCCAACTCGGAAGGTATTGGTTTATCTTTACTGTGCACTGCAGGTCAATCCTCTAACGTAGATGGAAGAGCAATACGAGTCCTTTCTGATGTGTCAGGAACCGGCTCTAGGTCACCCGCATAGTGTACCACCACTCTTGTTGTTAACTCTCTTTGGAGCAATCCCAACTGCTCCCCTTTCCCGTTGATGATAATTTCAACACGATAACAGGAAGGTATCATCGTATCGCTCTGCGGCACACTTGCCGATATTTGAAAGGACTTGATGTTTCCTGGGCCCTGAACCCGGTCTATGTCCACAAGGTAGTCCTACCCTTGACGACACCTGCATATACACCTTCACCGCCTACCCCACATTGAAACCAAAACTGCGGGTTTCCCTGACTACAATACCGGTTTGCTTTCGCAAGTAGTGTCGGGTTACAATCCTTACAAACCACCCTAACTTAATCATTCTTCTACCCTCTGTTTCGGCCGCATGACTCGGAGAGATAGCACACCCCTTGAACATTTTTCTTTCTCTGAACTTCAGTTTCCACCGGAACTTCAGGAAAGCGTTACCCATCGCAAAGGGGTTGCATGGGGACTTTGTCCCTCCCGTAACACATAGCTGACCACCGAAACCTCCTCAAGATTGCTCGGGAATTGCTCCGTGAGGGAGACATGACCACTTGAAATCTTTCTTGTACAAGCCTTTCGTCCAACCTATTTTCCTAACCTAAAGTATCTATACCTCCCCATTCTTAATCTGCCCCACGTGCTCGATTCAAGCTTGGAGCTCTTGATCGCAATTTGAGTACAACAGTCGCTTTTCCCTAAACCTGTGATTATCACCCCGAAAATAAGACTACTTCGATTGAGTCCTTTCTGATCCTCTGCCCATGTACATATGTACACCTCTCTCGCCGATCTTTCCTTTGTCACGTGGAACTTGTACGAGTGATCACCGAGGCCAGGATTTCCGGTCTCACGGTACCAAACTCATGGATTACCTTCTGAAAAGATTTTGCTTCAACCTCGTTTTTGTCCACACACGTCCTTTCACACAATGAATGACTCGTTCTTCAGCTGTTTGAGATGTTCTCAAAACTTTATACTAGTACTAGATTCGAGCGCCACCGTTTTCTTCTCTACACTCCCTGGGTCTCGAATGCATATTTTAACCTACTGACAGCAAACAAAAGTGACTGCGGGTCGTTCATTTCCACTTGAGCGCTTAATGACTCCTTGTTAGCTTTGGAACAATCCTCCAAGTCAATGATCGGCGACTTCTTCTTTGCTCTATTATCGTAGAGTCGCCGTTGACCAATGGCCTTGTTACATTCCCCATGACCTTTGACACGGCTCGGCTTCCTTCAATAACGCCCTGTCCCGATCTGATAATTCTCTATCCGGTCGCCAGGAATAACACCAGTAAAATTCACTGAGAACTAGTTCACTGGGAACTTCAACCTTCCCAATCCGTCACAGTTTACAGATGTAGCATCGTTGCATACTCCCTTATCTCAGCGTAGTTCCCGTACCTTGTTATCATGCATTGTCGAAGACACTCGGTGCACTTTGTTCTCGAAATCAGCGGCTGCATGGGAAACCCACTGCACCAATTTATTCTGACACCTTTATTAAACCACCCTTTGGTCGTGCCATTTCCACCCTACAACAATCCCCTCACTAATTCCCGTTAAAATACGGTGTGGGAGACGGGCGCATCTGAGAATGGCGTTGCTGGTCACTTAACTTGCTTCTCTGAGTGCTTGGACTAGCATGTGTCAACCACTCTCTTGAGGAAATTCAGCAAAATTACACCTGCACGACTTAACTTCTATAAAGCTTGCCGTGTGCACGTGCCTTCATACTCGGTCACCCTTCGGTGTGTGCTCGCACTAACAGGTGCTAACGAAATTTCAATCATCTAGAGCTCGCTCGAACCACTACACAGTGGACATCGTCTAAGTGACTCTAACAAACATCGACCCGCCTTAAGACCTGCATGAAGTTCATATCCTGCGTGTTTCCCCTCAAGTGGCCACATCTCCTACTACTTACACTGACGTGCCCTATCCTGGGTTCTGAACCTCTCGTCAAGTGTGTTACCAATCTGTGTCCCCAGTCTATGTTCGTGCTGAACGTGTTAAAGAACATCAACTGGTCATGAGACAATGATGACCATTACGCACACAAACGTAATCGGTCGAGAGATGCGTTGACGCTCATCTGTCCCCCAGTAAGCCTGAATGTTACACTGCCTCCACGTTACCCAACTACGCCCACTGGCGAACACAACATGCCCGACACCTATTCTTTCAGGCTCGCCGTATGAACATCCCCGTTAACACGAGGTGCGGGTCACTTCACCTAAGACTGAGATGAACACAACCTGTCCGACATAAAACACGCAGGGCTCGTCATGTACGCTACCGCCCAACTATCCACGTTGTAAATTAAGATTGTCTCTAAACTAGGCGAGACTTATGATATTGATCTAGCCCTTCCGGCTAAATATGGCTAGCCATACAACCCAATCCCCAGCCTTATCTTGGTGCCTTTCTAGGTGCTACCTATCACTCCGATGAGGACCTCGTTGCACGACTTGGCTCTTATAATACTCCACATGTGTATTATCGCTCAACTGTCCACCGTCAGAATGTTGTGCCGGACGCCCGAGTAAAAACTCGACTGCCCTAAGGTGTCCGTTGTAACACCTGCGTCTCTCGTTCTGTCTCTCGCCCCAAACATCCGCGAGTGGTCGGAAATCATGCGATCAGATAATTGACCAGGGGCCACGTCAAGCATGACGTCCCGACGTAACTTCTGCAACATTCGCCATGCGTTGCTGCCCGACTGCCCAGTAACCACCAGTACTGTTCAAGCAAACGTGCCGAAGAAAACCTAAAGGGCAACGGCGAAAACGTGCGCAACGATGACACTTACACCACTCGTCATAAGCGTTGCCGCTCACAGTGTCCACCCGAAACGTGCGAAAGACCGGTACCACTTCATCAATAACCTCGAGGACCACAACATGTCCAATGTCACACCATAACTGTCATCTTGCGTGCTACTGTTCTGCCAGCCAGTGTTCTCAGACCACTACACTGCGCACATCATGTACGAGGTGGGACCTTCACTGCTCTTTGTGTGTTGCCGCTCATCGACCGCTTATCCAGCGTTTGCATAACCGCTGCCAAGGATCCTAACCCGGGGACAACGATGCACCCAGCGTGCCAAACGTATCGGTCCCACCGCTCGTCGTGTTGACGCTTGTCCGTATCCACCCCGTGTGTGTACACCCAAGAAACGTGCCAAAGCCCACTCGTGTAGGCACAACGCCGAATATCCCATGCACGACGTAAGTCTAATGTGTGTTATCACTTGACTGTTCGCCCACGAGTGCACGCCCAAAACCGTGCCAGAGACCACTCAAGACATGGACGGTGATAAAACCGCGAGCACGACGTAAGGACTACAACGTAACGCTCGTCATGCGTGTTATTACTTTACTGTCCATTCGTGAATGTACGCACCAATCCGTGTCAAAGACCCCTCAAACAGGGACAGTGACAAACACCACATATACGACTTAAAAGTCACACCGCTTGCCATGTGTGTTACCGCTCGACCATCCTCACCCGAGTGAACGCCCAAGCCGGGCCAAAGAACACTCAAGCAGGGACGGTGACAAACACAACATGCACGACGAAAAGATCACACCGCTCGCCATGTGTGTTACCACTCGACTGCCCCTACCCGAGTGTACCAAAGAACACTCAAGCAGGGACAGTGACGAACACAACATCCACGACGAAAGATCACACCGCTCACCATGTGTGTTACCGCTCGACTGCCCCTACCCGTGTACCAAAGAACACTCAAGCAGGGACAGTGACGAACACAACATGCACGACGAAAGATCACACCGCTCGCCATGTGTGTTACCGCTCGAGATCACACCGCTCGTGATGTATGTTACCGCTCGCCTGCCCTACCCGAGTGTACCAAAGAACACTCAAGCAGGGACAGTGACGAACACAACAAGCACGACGAAAGATCACACCGCTCGCCATGTGTGTTACCGCTCGACTGCCTCTACCCGAGTGTACCAAAGAACACTCAAGCAGGGACAGTGACGAACACAACATGCACGACGTAAAGGCTGAACTGCTGGTCGTCCTGCCATAGGTATCAGCGCAGACGAAATGCCGGCACAGCGCTCTGTCGGGGATACTGAAAAATACGAAACAAACATAAAACTCCCGGCTGCCTTCCGCTCTGCCGATGTCGCGGAGCCGGTTGGCTGCTAGTGCTGTAGAGCCGGTTGCTGTGCGCTCTGCAGATGTTGTAGAGCTAGGTGCCGTATGTCCTGCTGATGTTGTTGCGGTAGAGGAGCTCGCTGTAGAGGCGGGAACTGCGTCGTTGTTTTTTGCGGTCCATGTCGTCGTTGTCCACCTATCGTCTGGTGTCTACTTCTGCATGTCCTCGGTGGGTAGTTTTGTAGTCACTATCACTGAATAGGCACAGCACAAAACAAAACTTCAGACCTGAAGCGTACCGCAAATTACTTAAAATACCCGCCCGAGGGAGCTCACACCATAACGGGAAGAGAAACCCCGCACAGCCAAGGACCAGGCGGCGAACCAGCAAGGCCGAAAGCTCCACTCAAGTAACCTTCCCGAGGAAAACAATCTAAACCACCCTACGAAAACAACAAAATTACACGGATTCCTTAGACCATTCAAATGCAAATGCCCACGTGTAAAACCCCACATGGAAAAACCCTCCAAGATCCTGCGGATACCACCTAAAACTGCTGCTGTAAATTTATCACTGGCGGCGGCGGAACCTGCTGCTGCGGTTGTCGCACACTGCTGAGTACGGGGCTGGAGGACGGATACCCTGCTGTTGAGGAGCCGCCGGTCTCACTCCCTGCTGTCCGGCATCCTGCATTCCCGCGGTAGGTAGTCTTGGTGCTTGTGGCGTCATATCTACATGTGCAAACAATGCCAATTCATAAAAAGACGCCAATCCAACTGCAAAACTTACACTACCCACCCGAGGGAGTCCCCACCATAGCGGGAAGAGAACCCCGTACAGCCAAAGGACCAAGCGGCGAACCAGCAAGGCCTGAGACCCCACTCAGGTACCCAATCCCTGCTAAAACAATGAATGAAGACCTTTATTGTACATTTGTGTTCTACAGAACTAAGTACAGGTCGCATGGGGTACAGAACGTGAACATAAACATATACATTACAAATATATGAACATAATTATAAGAGTGTAAATAAATGACTAATTTCTATTCTTTTCGGCTTCATCTCGCTTGGTAGTGATTGTATGGATATATGCGGCTGTGAGATTACTTAGAGTAGGTTTATCAAAAGTTAAAAGGAATACAAATTTCTCTTTACTAGTCAAATAACTAAAGTGGGGTGCTAAAACAATCACCACCCCAAAACCAGAAGACAAAAGAAAAATGCCTCCACCATTCAAATGCAAATGACCCAGGTGTGGAGGACCACGTGTTACGCCCGCTAACGGAAAATTCCCACACGAAAACTACACGAATCCAACAAACCCGCAAAATTCTACACCCCAAAACCTCTACTTAGCTTGAGGTGCGAAAAAGAAAACAAAAACAACACA